TATTTGCAGCAGGAGCTTTTTCTTTGTCACTCGTTTTACTCAATTCCGTTTCTTAACTTCCACTTCGTATTTATTCCTTTTTCCGGTTGTTTTATCTCTCATATTCACTTTTGAATTAAATTCTTCTCACGATGAGTAGCTTGGACATCTACAACTCACTCACAAGATCAACCACGCTTACAAGAACTTACAGCATCTCTTTGGACTCTAATGCATTCAAACCAGTCTACAGGGAATGTTTAGATGATGCTGAAGATTTGGCCAAGCTTGGTTATACGCAAGCCTTTGATCGTGGGCTATCACTCTTCAGCGTATTTAGTGTTTCTTTTTCTGTACTCGGATTGCTTCCGTCTGTGGCAGCGACAATGTGCTTTACAATGCTTGCAGGCACCCCTGGAATGGTCTGGGGTTGGCTTCTAGCAATGGTGTTTGTTGATTGTTTAGCGGCAGCATTGGCAGAGTTATGCTCCAGCATGCCCACTTCAGGTGGTTTATACTACTCTGCGTCTGTACTGGCGCCAAAAGGGTGGGGTCCCTTAGCTTCCTGGATTACAGGTTGGTCTAATTATCTCGGGCAGCTTATCGGTTTCCCAAGTTGTGTATATAGTCTCTCATCTATGACATTGTCAGCTATTCGTATCAGTCAGGAGGACTACAAAGTGAAACCCTATCAACTTTATTTTTTGTGTGTTGCCTTCATATTGGTTTTTGCAATAATGGCATCACTTCCCACAAAGGTTATAGGTCGTATAAATTCTTTTGGAACACTGTTGAACACCGTTTTTCTGTTCGTTTCAATGCTCGTCATATTGATTGAAGCTGGATCGCGAAATGGCTTCAATAAATCGAGCGACGTTTGGACAAAATTCAATAATGTAACATCGTGGCCTGATTGGTTTGCAGTATTTATGTCCTTCTGCGGTGTCATTTGGATTATGGCTGGGTTCGATACTTCATTTCATCTTAGTGAAGAGTGCGCCAATGCAAGCATGAACGCCCCAAATGGCATTTTCTTGACTTCTACTATTGGAGGTCTAGTTGGTTGGCTTTTCCAGCTAGTTATAGCTTATACAATTGTGGATATAAATGCTGTTGTGACTTCAGATAACTTATGGGTTGCTTATTTGACACAGGTATTAAGCAAAAAAACGGCCATGTTTATTGTTTCGTTGACAATTGTTTCCAACTTTATTATGGCACAAGGTGTATTAATTGCTTCCTCTCGTATTGCTTATTCATATGCTCGTGATGAAGTGCTACCATGTTCCAAGTGGATGGCTCAAGTCCACAAACGAACAATGACGCCGGTACACACAGTCATTGTGAACGGAACCATTGCGATCGTTGTCCTTTTATTAATATTTGCAGGATCAATAACCGTTAACGCAGTTTTCTCAGTTACTGCTATTGCGGCGTTCACAGCTTTTACGGTTCCTATCTTTCTTCGTGCCTTTATTGTGTCAGATAAAGATTTTAGACGCGGCCCTTGGAACCTTGGTCGGTTCTCCCGACCAATATGTGCTATCGCTACTATATTTGTGATTATTATGATTCCCATATTATGCTTCCCAAATTCTTCACGACCTAGTATGCAGCAAATGAACTGGACCTGTCTTGTATTCGGACTCCCAATGGGTGCTGTGGTTCTGTGGTATGCAATATCTGCAAAACATTGGTTCATTGGTCCCAAAACAAATATTGCTGTTGTGGGGCTTGCTGGTATGTCTGTTCTTGAAAAAGGAATTGCGCAGTCATTTGATTCTGACAGATATATAAAGGAAAAAAGCAGCTACTGAAAACTCCAGAGAACAGCAAGCCTTTAAGCTTCTCTTATACAGGTTCAGTTTAAAGTTGTTAAATGCGGGTTCTTATCATTATTGTATTCTGGTTTAGTATCATTAGACAAGACTGCACGTTAAAAGATGTGTGTAAATATAGAATTTTTAGTCAAACTCTACTGAAGACTACAATAAAAACGGATTATCAGTAGTACTTTTCTCGCTTTAAACAATAACAATGAGTTAAGTTTCAGAGTTTCGAAATACAACAACGTACTGTGCAACTGTAAGTCCTTGTTCCCATCACTCTAACCCCTATTCGCAGGTTGTAAACCAAGTATCGCAGAGTGCATCATTTAGTCGGCTTTTGCGAATAAAAGCCGATTTTAGCGCAATCACTCCAATTCTCGCGAAGTAAACTGATAACGCATGAGCGATTGCAAAGGCAACAAAAAGAATACTCGTTCTTATATTCTTTTCCATAGACTCGGTTGTTTTGGTCCTTAAAAATGTTACATTGAGATTACCAAAAACAAACATGTCATTTATGTACCAGAACTCAACTTCTAAGTATGGGAACACTTTAACTCTTTTATGTTTGTTTTAATAATTCGTGATTGATATTGTATGGTAGGGGAGCTCTTTAAATATGCTGTCGCAAATAATAATTGAATTACAACAAGACATTAGCTAGCTAGGTAGTTCACCTTGACAGTATTTTTTTAGTAGATAAATCAAGCTTTCAATTCTTCAGATTGTTGAGTTAAGTAAAAGGTATACTTAACGAACATGATAGTCAAACAAAATATTAACATTTTTCGTAGAAGAGGTATTGTTTTATGTCTCAGAACGAACAACTCTTCAGTCGGGTATAACTCTAGGTACGCATTTTTTGGAGTTTGTTGGTTCTAACCTTATTACTATGTTTTAAAAAGTACATATCGCAGCATACACATTAACTGCGTAGATAATAATTCTCAAAAGATAATTGTTTACAGAATTACCGAATTTCGATCATCAACAGACTCAGAGACGTGATTTTAATTTATAAAATGAGTCAAGTGAAAATCTATTATGATATATACACAATTAAATTTTCACCATTGCTTGATAACCATTAGCGAAGGTTGGTTCGAGTCCAGCTTTCTGCTTGTACAGTTTGTGTCGCAAGAAGAAAATTACACAACAAAAATGAATAATCCGTTAACGCAACATTAAAGCATTAGATTTTTAATATTTGAGCTTGTTTTTGTTGCACGTAACCCAAATATACATTCACAACCATTCACAGAGTATCCCTATATTTCAAAAGAATCCGATAACTGGGGTATAGCAAATCTTCTTGTAAGCCTGTCTACTAAGGAACACGTAGGTCAAGAATGTTCATTGAAATACCATTACGTTACGTTATATAGATTCGCTAAGTACTTGTACTTCATGAAGTTACCTTCAAATTTTATCTCTATTCATTCAATTGAAGTCATTTAACACATCATAATATTAAAGAACATCAAACACAATGTTGAGTAGGTTATCGCGGTTTCAAAGAAATAAAGAGAAAGAATCCTCTTCAGTTTTAGCTGGTTTAATCAGTGACAAATTAGTTCATCCCTCTTATTCAAATTTCCACCGGAATACTACATCACGACACCGAGACATGTTTACTAGTAGTGAAGATTTTCACTGCCAACGCATAAATTCAACTTGCCATAATACTGGTCTTTCAGGGTAATATTACTGCTCGCTGTGGTACATTTTTGCAACCTTAGCGAACCCAGACTCTACAGAACTAATTTATTTTATGCATTACCTTAAGCGCAGAAAAGCTCATTCATTATGTCATTAAATAAATCGTAGCGAACAACATTATACTTTTTAAAGTTCATAGGCGCGTAGGCTTACATGATTGAACAGCAAGGACCGCATCTGGGGCCACAAAGGCCCCCTCCGCCCATCATGGGACCACCACCCATAGGCCGTCCGTAACCGCCGCCGGGTCTTCCGTATCCTCCTTGTCCACCATAGCCGCCGTATCCGCCGCCTGGTCCGCCGCCTGGTCCGCCATATCCGCCTCCAGGGCCTCCGAAGCCGCCTCCAGGGCCTCCAAATCCTCCGCCGTGACGGCCGCCCTAAACAAACGTTAGTCTCGATTCAATATGCGTTTCCTCGGATATTGCGAATGCGACGTACGTGTCTGCGCATAGTTTTAAAGTAGAAAACCTCTTAATTTGCTTTTTCGTACTTACGATTAAGTGTAAGTCGTTTCCCTTCCAAGTCTTATGATTAGAAGGTTAGATTATGATAGCATTTTGCAACGTTCCCTCTTATATACAACAAATATTTCATTATGGCTTAGAGAGGCTGTAGTGGCAATTCATACAGATGCAAAAGCCTAATAAGAGGTTGAGTCATATAATTGTCATCAGCTTGCGTTACGAAACTATTACTCGACGTGTATCTGTGCAATGGATGGAAGCTATTTTCATTTTATGTGGCCTTACGAGGCTCAAAAATTTCTTCAAAAAATTTTTTGGTATTCGCCATGACAATTATATTTGTCCCAACACACATTACCAGTCAACAATTCATTGTTTGTCAAGTAAACTCAAATACGAACGCTCAACAGATACATAATGTAATGAGCAATAGCGCAGGAAAAGCGTCGCTAGGTCAATCGAATGTAGAATTTTCAATGTTAGCACGTCACTTCGCATCCCAAAGAGTATCGTCATCAAACGACAACACCCCCAAAACGCAAGTGCAAACAGTCTACACCAATAAACACTATATGATAATACTGACAACAACATTACGAACCAAATTGTCACAATAAAATCAGGAATAACCCATACACGAACTGCCATTCATCATTTTATTACACGCGTAGTGGTTACAGCTTGAGAATACTGCATCACCAAATTCCCGCATAAACCTAGTGAGCCAAACGAGAACTTTGGATAACACCCGAGAGCTCCTCGATCTTGGCCTTGGCACGGCCCAATGTACCAAGCTAAACAAGAGTAGTTAGTATATCTGGATCAAAACGCAAGCAGAGCGTTGCATCCGCGCAAGTGCAACATGACACAGCTGCTTGAACTCATTAAATATCACTTACTCTCTTCTTAGCGAGCTTACGAGCACGCTTGTCCTGAGAGTTACGAATCAACTCCATCAGGCGACGCTCGTAGGGAGCAAAACCAGCAACTTCACGGACAACAGAGCGGACGAAAATGGTGCGCTTGGCTTGACGACCCTTACGACGAGAGGGACGCTCAGGAAGTTGACGCTTGGTCAAAGCCTTGCCTTTATTCAAACCAACAATCAGCTCGGGTGCTTGATTTGCCATTTTTGCAGTTCGTGCTTATTTCCCCAAGTTGTCGTTACCCAAGTTTTACGAACAGAACATGCAGTCACTTACCCTAACCTATTTGTAAAAATGGAAATAAAGTTCATTTAGAAATACCACGTGACCGTGTACAGATTAAAGCTTGAATATTAATACTAAAGAAGAGAACATTTGGATAAGGGAGTTCAATTTCACATACTCGCAATACTATAACCCTTTGTTCGTTAAGGCTGAATCTTTCGTTTTTTTTGTGCCTCTTCGCTTACTTCGTAATATAACTGTTTTAATCATTTAGTAAATAATTTAAATTCCACAAAAAGTATATGCTTATAAAGCAAAGCACTTAAGGAATTCAGTGAACATCTTCTGAAATTTCTGGCGTTGCAATTTTTGTTGAGCGGATTGTTTCTGACGCATCCTTGTATTGACTACTCATCGTTATAACCCCTATGACATGGAGACCCGGTGACCTGTTCTTTGCACACACCTTCTGCTTTTAGCAGCATTTAACAAAAAGTTGCGCTGTTATAGGTGTTGGTTTTGTTTGTTGTTTGATTTGCACAGCTTCGTTTGTATTTCTCAAAGGTTTGGCTGTACGAAACATTCTGACTGAAAATGACGTCCAGGTCTCATTTTTCTTCAATCCCATTGTCGAATCCTAATCGTCGGTTTTATGGACAGCCTCCTGCAGGTCCTAGTAACGTTGGACGTTCTCAACGGTCAATGTCCGAAAGACTTTCACAGGTCTGGGAGCAGACAGAGGAGTATTTTGAACCTGTGAAACCGTATCTTACTCCATTGGGTCGTTTTCTTATTATAGCAACTTTTTTTGAGGACTCTTTCCGTATTTGCACACAATGGGGCGATCAAGTTGCGTTTATGCGTGATTATCGTAGATTTCGATTTGGAACAGCTCCGCTTTTACTGTTCATCAACGTAATTTTGATGTTCTTCGGCTCCCTACTTGTCGTTATAAAGAGAAAACAGATGTATGCAATTGCGTCGCTGCTTTTTGTTGTTGTTCTGCAAACTTTCTGTTACGGACTCCTCTTTGACGTTGATTTCTTTTTCCGAAATCTCAGTGTTATTGGAGGTTTGGTTCTTGTAGCTGGAGACACATTTATCCATCATCGTGTCAATCGTTTTGCTGGCCTTCCCGCTGTTTCGGAAACTAACAAGCGTACTTACTTCCAGCTCACTGGACGTGTCTTGCTTATTTTTATGTTTATTGGTCTCTTGGCAAAAGAAACGAATCGCACACCTACTCGGATCTTAGTTCACATCATGTCAGCCATTGCTTGTGTTATGGTCGTTATTGGTTTCAAGGCCAAGGTTTCTGCGACTATCCTCGTTTTCATCTTAAGCATCTCCAATTTTATTATTAACAGCTTTTGGACTCTTCCTAAAGATAGTCCTCATCGTGATTTTTACCGTTATGGTAAGTTTGCTAAACGTGTCCGTTGTACTTACAAGTATAGATTTCTTTCAAACTTTGTCCATCATTGGTGGCTTATTGTATCTAGTTAACACCGGTCCTGGAAAGATATCTGTGGACGAAAAGAAAAAGTTCTATTAAGAACACACATTGTTTTATTGTTCCCTTCCGGTACATATGGGCCCACATCTCAACGCGCTGTAATGTCCTTAGGATCTTCACGATTTTTATCACTTCCTCTGCTATAAAATCCCCGCATTGAATGAAGCTACGATTCTAAAGAACAGGTTGAATATAGCATGTCGGCCTCAAATTCATCACGACAGAAATAACCAAATTTATGACCTTCAACTCATGTGAATGAGTCTTTAGTATAACAGTGAAATTTGGAATTACTTTGGTACATATTGATTAAATTGAGCGAGTATGTATTTCATGGCTACTCAAATTCCCGATAAGGTATCGAGAAATTCTATAAGCCTGATCGTGTCTTTGGTTCTGCTATTTAGTTTATGATTTGGTCCAAGATGATGGTATATGTGGTTGAGAATACCATTTACATCGTTTATAGTTCCCTTATGAACTGCGTAGTAAGTACACGTATTTACCGGGCACTTCCAAAGCACTTGAGAGTTTTTTTGAATGTCAACAAGCTATAGTTCGGGGTTAGTTCAATGAAAAGCCATAATGCGCTGTAAGTGCAACTTACTCTAATTTTTTTTAAAAGCGGTAAATTCCGTTGACGATGAAAATAATGTTTTGACTTTTCCAAAAGCGAATTAACCTTTGTGGAATTTTCAGGAAGAAGTGTGTCCACTATTGAGTTTGCATTTTTAGATGAGCTTGAATGTGATCTGCCCTTTTTCGTATATGGTTTAATACCATGTGAGTTAAGAACGAGTTTTGACCATATTGAAGGAATATCCGGCAACGATTCTGAATATAGAGTCTCCAAAATATTATAAAATTCGTGATATATGCTCAAAGAGCACCAATAAATATTGTCTGCGTTCATCCGCCTCACTAGATATGGGATATGGTTGAGAAGTGCGGACTCTGCATGCATTGAAGTAAACTTCAAACAATTTATTATATCTTTTGTGTATTGATCCTTCATGTAATCCGAACTTGGTAGTCCGAAGTACGCCTTCTTGACCAAAGTTTCCCACAGTTGGGCTTTGAGAACATCTTCTTCTGTGGCATCTACTTTTCCATCCATACTTTCCCTGTCTGTTTGAGCCAGCCGAAGAGCAGACCTTGCTTTCACTCGAAACAGGGAACGCGCCTCCTGAAGATTAACCGAATAACCACAAAACTCTTTAAGGGATACAAACAAATAAGAACTTAACCAATGTGGGAATGACTGCATGTAATAAAGAAGCGCCTCCGCATGTCCTTCAATTCGTACTCGCGTTTGCAAGGGTGTTTCCTTAAATTTTGTGGACATAAGATTACACCAGTCCCAAAAAGAAAGTGATTGAATGTCCCATGGAGTATTACATCCGCTGTAGACATCTTGAAGTGTTTTCCAAAGTTCATCTGCTTCATTATTCGGTTCCACTATTCGCAAACCTGGAACAGTTTTTGAGTTATTTGGGAAAAATAAGGCAGTTGTTCTATGTGAAATGTAAAGACGTTTGTCAAACTGTCGAGTATCGATGGAAATTGATGACGGTGCTTGTAGCGTAAGTTCCGTTTTTATGATATTGCTTGAAACCTTAGCTTTAGAATCCTTACGTTTCAAACGAGTTTTATGAATAGCCTCATTCACATCATTTATTATATGCAAGTTTGATTCGCGTATTCTTTGAAAGAATGGGGATTCTTCCCAAACATGAGAAGAAGAAAATCCAACCATTTGGGATATGAGAAAGCGAATATGTTTATATACAAGGAAGGAGGCCTCAAACTTGTGTTTCAAAATAAGACAACGATAGATGTCAACAATATATTCGTTGTAATCTTCAAGAGTTCCCTTCATCATGTCTCTCTTAAATTTTGTTTTTATGATATAGAAGAGTCGTAATTTTTCTACCATAGTGTTATATATTGAGGAATATTCTTTCGAAGCTCCAAGAACGCCGTACTGTTTCGTAGGAGTAAGGATCCACACAGTCGTAGTTTTGTTCACTGGATCGTCCTTTAGACTGTACGTCCATATTGGCGAAATTTTTATTGGATGCCCGAGAACAATCGTACTGTCGATTAATGGATCCGGTTCTTCATTTTCTTCCAACTGCACTAGACCAGTTAACGTAAATGGACCTTTTTCCAAAACCTCCAGCAAGTCAACGATCTTTCCAGATGAGTCGGTAACTACAATATGTGAAAGCTGTTGCACTTCACGTTTAGTAGCTTTTGATGGGTTACTTCGTTCTTTAATGGTCATTTTGGTGTAATAGACCGAGTTTATTTGGTTTCGCTAATACCCATGTCCCATAGCCTTTCTAAGAGCGCACGGGGAGGCATGAAATGCCTGAAAAATGGAGTCGTCTCTGTAATAAAAGCAATTTTAATAAATTTGAAATTATTAAATTCCACAAATGGCGAAACTTATACTGAAAGGAGTTAGGACAAGGGCGCTTCAAGTGAGGCGAGCGGTCTGTCGCGAGATACGGTAAAAACTAATCACTTTTTCACCTTTGTAGTAACAACTAAACCAAAAACTTGTTGTGAACATCTAAAGTGTAATTCTATTTTATTTTTCACCCCCTTTTTTAATTTGATATTAGTGCAATATTGCTAAATAGTTTAATTTATTCAAAACAGAGTTATATAAAAATTTATAAGAAAATTTAAGTGATAATCAAGGTCCTGCATTTATGGTTTCTGGATTTATTGATATTCTATATATTTAATTTTTTGCCCAAAGGTTCACAATTACAATTCTTCAAACAGATGACATGAGCAGCACAAACATTGAATCTTAATGTCCTTACTTTAGCCTCCCCAATAGAATGAACTCGGACGTGTACATGGAGGAACTCTAAGTAACGCCTTTAGACCGGGGATTAAAATGAAAATAGAGCTGTTCTCTTCTTTCCAAAAGGATAAACGAGCAATGCACTAACATACAATCCAACACTAAGACCAATCGCAACTTGGATCATTTGAGCACCGGAGCTGAAACTTTCAAACAGATGAGTTTTGTACTCAGTAGATGCTTTAACGCCATCTTTGTCAAACAACGGTAATGTTAAGCCAGCTAACAGACCGCCTTGCGCAGCAATACCACTGGGAACAAGGCACATCATACCTGTGATAACAGAAGCAAAAGCGAACCCGCGCCTTGTACGTGTAAACAGATGTGCCATAACACCGAGTGTAAACGCACCTACAGCGTCTGCAATTTGAGGAGATGAGCGTTGTGAGACAAACCAATACACACAGTATCCTATGGAACCAAATAGAACCATTACGGGGATCTGTTTTGGAACAGCTCGGATAGCCGCTGCTTGGAAAACAAGATACAGTGGAACAAACAGAATCTTCCAATAAGCGCTAACCGCATATGTGCATGTTGATGATGTAGGAGCTCTGTCTGTCGCTAAACCCCAAAGTTGACTTCCAACATCAATGCCAAAACCAAGGAGCAGGGAATAAATAACAGCATAAAACATTCTTGAAGAGCCGCTGGTCAGACTGTGTGACTGTAACTCCAAACTTCCACACAAAATGATATAACCAGGCAAGATGAGGGTAATACTGCTTTCTGCAACACTTGAAAAACAAAAGTACTTTTGCTGTCTAGCAGGACCTATTGAAGCTATTGCCCGGGCACAAAAACTAGTTACGAGACTTGACGTAACTTCAAGAACGTTTGAGTAAAGTGGATTCCTAACAGCAACCACATTTTGCAAGAAACCTACAAAGCATCCGAGTACAAACGCAGGTGCCATATCACGCCAATGACCTCCGTAAGCCCATATAGCAGCCGTAGCGCTTGACATACCATAAATAACAACTAGCTGCCAGGGCTTGTAGTACTCTGGTTCTTCTAAGATTCTGGTCAGAATTTTAGTCGCTTCCTCAGCTGTATATAAATCGTGTATAGTACTTTTATAAACCCGGAAAACACGTTCAAGCTTCCCGATATCCAAACCCGCGGCTTTTACCAGCGTGTTATACGTTGTACTTTGGTAAGAATTCGAATCAGTAGGACGAGTGATAAAGCAAATTTCCATACAACCCGGAATGTAATTTACACGACCTTCAATTTGACAATTTTTCATTGCATTCATCATATACTCTTCAAGACGATGAGAAGGTGCACCATATAACATCATAGCATAACACAAAACCACGATAAATGTTCGTTTTGAGCTTTCTTCTTGAGCATGCACGATATAATCTGGTTTTTTGTTACGTTTATTAAGAAGTTTTTGACGCCAGTGACCTAATTGACGTTTCAATTCGTGCGCATCAACGATGTGCTTACGAGATTCACGGGTGCCATCAGAGCGCAAGCTTGATGCATCCGAACGTAAGGCGGAAAGGGCCGTAAACGAATGGGCTCTGGGCTGTAAAGGAGGGCGAGATTGTACTGGAGACTGCGGAGGGTGAGGGGAAGATGTAAACCAAACTGATGAACCTCTACGGGAATGAGTTGGCTTTGGAGAATAAACGTGATGAGAACTGTTATAAGCAACTGATGGAGCTGTTACGCCGGCGGTGTGCATGGCATTGGAAGCTAGAGCAGCTATTGTAGATAAACTCTTTGAGGATTCATCGCGAGGCAAAGTGAGATCTGTGGCAGAACGACTTGATAAACCTGGAATCCGCAATCTTCTCTTCTTTGGCTTTGTTATACCAGTGTCTCCTAGGTAGTTTGCTCTTTTTGGCAATGGCCTATTATCAGCAAGTTGACGAACATTAACACTATTCTGAGCTGCACCCCAGTCTTCCTTGAAAGACTTGAAAACATGTTTGATTTCTGAAGCTAGACGCCTGTACCACGGTCCTCCTCGTGATGAGGGTGGCAGAAGATCTTCCCATTGCGTTTCAATCGGTGAAGATTGGGAATAAGAGCCCAGGGTTAGCGACGCCTGTGGAGATGTCGGCGTTGTAATAGATTCATTTGATGCATCTTCTGGTATACTAATGAAACTAGACGTACGCCCTTGCAAAGACGGTCGCCTGGGTCTCAAACTTCCGAGTTGCGAAAACGGCGAACTCGGGATATCCAAACGGAGGTGAAGACGACCAGGCTGCTCTGGAGGATCTTGGGAGTCTTTCATGTACTTCTTTAACTCTTGGTCGAGTTTCTTCAATAAGAGTTAAAAAGTTCTGAGACACGATGGCAGAAAATATAGGCAATGAAAAAAGAAAGTAAAAAACAACGGAATCCAATAAACTATGCTTTTTAAACCTCACAAATTGAACGAATATTGACGAATTGTTCAAATGAGTGCAATTGATAGTGTAAAAACAAAAGAAAGATGGATTGGGAGAGAAGGCAAGTTATTCCGAAAAAGTGGTAATATGAGGAACGAAGTGCGAAGCCGCTTTGAAATCTGAGATAGAACGGCTAGGGTTTTCTGTATTCTAAGCTCAATAGAGGTTGGTTGTCATCTTGGATTAGGCATAGTTGACTGTTTAAACAACGATGGATGTTGTTCTATAATCAGACAGGTAATTGACAGATACATGCAAAACCGGAATTATATGCGCACACTCCGATCGCATGTAAACACCTAGAAAGTAAAATACGAACAAAATATTGTATCTTATTTCATGTTTTGCTTGCATAACACTATATAAAAACAAACTTCACAGTCATATAAAATTATTGTGTGATGTTTGTCCGAGAGACAAAAGAAATGTAATTATCGAGAAATAAAGGAGGTTAAAAAAGAAAGGTGAGTGTTGGTGACGAAAATAGGCAGAATTAAATTGGAGTCAATTGGGATTCTTTTCTGTACAAGAACGGACTGAGTAACGAAACGAGTAATAAGAGATAAACAAAACAGTTGAAAGGTCATGAAGCTTTTTTCAAAATAGATGGTTGAATGATAAAGGATGGGAACAGGAGATAGTTCTCAAAAAACTAGGAAAACTGAAACAATTCCGTTGCACGCTGGATAGCACGAGAAACACGATCTAATTCTTGCTGTGCCCCCGTATAATTTCCAATCCATAGCTGCTCATATACAGACGGAAGCACAAAAGGCTTCTGATCACGTATATTTGGTCCATATATAACATGTTTGTACCATTCGTGTCCTGGCAAACCAACGGGATCCGTGAAGGCCCGTTCAAAGCTCATCAACAACTGATTGACATTTTTGAGCTCCGGGTAAACACGATTTGTAGATAAGTACATTGAATGCCCTTCTTCCTTGACCCATTTTTCTAGAAAAAAAGTGTAGTTATTGGCAAGTAGCTTCAAGGCTTGTAGTTCCTCTGAAATAGAGCTGAAATCAATATTTTGACTAGCCGGGGTTGCTGATAAACGGTTTATAAAAGATGCATAACCATCAACTTCATCTGCTAATGAGAAAGGAACGATGGGATCGTTTGAAAGAGAAAGTAAAATGAGTGCCCACACCTCAGTAAGCATGTTGACATATTGTTCATATCCACTTTCATATGTGGTTAACCACTCCTTTGAATCAAGGATAGAACCAAGCAATGGATCCGGTTCTGTTTTTGAGTCTCGCTCAAACCCAATATTTATAACAGGAATTCCTGAATGGCTCAAGAAGCTAGTGTAATCGGGTCCAATGTCAAAATCATCGGTCATAAAGTAGCCGTCTTGGGATGGGAAATTACGCCGTGCAATTGAAAACGAACGTTTTACTATCTTTTGTAACCCTGGAACAGTTCGAGCTGTAAATCGACTTCCCTTGAAGGCAACATCAACATTTACGTATGCGACAATCTTTCCTTGAAGCTCCTCTTCAAATTGTTCCAACCATTCAGTGCTTCCAAGAGCATTATACATTCGTCCATCCCAACTTGCGAAAACAATCGTCCGACGAGGACGCCACGACAAAGCAGAACGCATTTCAGTAAAAACTTCGATAAGGTTCATCAAACTTGCCGATGCCAATCCCGTTCCTAGAACATCATAATCATACGAATCGCGAGGAGCACCAACGACAATAAACTCATTTCTATCCATACCCTCAATTTCGGCAAGAACATTGATAGATTGCGCATCAACTTCGTAATTCATATTCGTTTGGATGTGAACATTTAGAGGTTCACCCTCACTGTTCGAACCAAGGCCGGTCCAACAATTTTGAACACCAGGAAGAGACATCTTCCAGGCATCTGTTTGTATATGATGTCCTCGACCCACCAATCGAAGCATCAATTCCTGTGCATTTTGTTGAGACAAAGGAAGCGCAGGAATCTTACTTGTCACCAATTCGGTGGACCGGTCTAAACGTTTTCCTCTATACGTTGAGGCAAAACCAGGTGTCAAGGGATCACCCATGTAATAATACGACCGTGCTAAACTAGTACGGAAAATCGTGTCAGGCTTCGCAAAGGGACCAGTAGGATACCAAGCATTACTTGCGAAGCCTGCAGAAAGTGTCTCGTCGTACACAAGACATCCAACAGCACCATGGCGTTCTGCCGTCCATACAGCTTGGCGCACCTTATCGCGAGTTGCACGTAAAATTACAATAGCACCCTTATACTGAATATTTAGGTCATCGAGTGTGGAATAATCTTCATCTGTACCAGTATTTACATAGACAAGGGGAGCCGTAACATTACCATCGGCAGAATATGTATAAGAAATAACAGCATCATATTCCTGTTGTGAGTTTTGAATAGGAATCTCAGAAACCAGGGCATGGAAAGAACTATCATCAACCACTTCTAGTGTAGGAGGTTTTGTGAAATGTGCATAAGTATAGAACGTATTCAAATCCAAGTTGTCAAGTGCAAGGTAGCGAAGTCTATATAACATCATTTCCGCCAGTTTGTTATCTCCAATTGTCCCCATTTTGCGATATTTATTGGCAAAGTAAGGAAGATATTCGCCAATACGCCAATTAGTAGTACGAAGAAGGTACGAAACAAGGTATTCCTCATCATAATGTTGAATAATTTGAACTCCTGTCTCATCGGAGAATCCATAGTAACTGGTAATGAAAAGAACAATTGCGACAAGGAAAAGATACAGCAAATGAAAAGGAATGCGCCGAAGGAGAGGAAGGCAACGGGTGTTAAAAGAATGTCGAACCGAAGCCCAACCTTCATGCAAATCTTCCAACTTCTTCTGAAGACGTGGATAGCGAGCCAAACGTGAGGGTGAAGGGGGTTCTTCCACTTCAAAGTGATGCACTGGTGTCGTCCCTAAACTTGTTGAATTTACAGGCGGGACCTCTGCGAGCAATTCAACCTCGACCTCTTCGTACGAAGGTGGAGGAGAAGGCCGAGGAACATACAAATTTCTGCTTTTCTCCGGATTTGAAACGACCATTTTCAAACCAAGAATAAAAAACACAATTATCGTTACCGTCCAGAATAAATTATATGAATGCTCTAAGAATCTTTAGAAACACAGGAACAACAGTCCAGATTTTGAGTAATTAAGATACTTTTAAAAATACCACCAAGAGAACAATTCTTAAGATAAAATAAGGAACCGTGAAAGACACTAGATTTGGCGGTCCTCACTTCCTCTCAAAGGAAGCTGACCAAAGATCCAGCAAGAACACCACTTGCAGAACAAAACTATGCACGGTGACACTCTTAAACGCGTAGTACCTTTATTTCCTATCACTTCTGGTTTGGTGATGGTTAAAACTCAGGTCACAATGACTGCATCTCTAAGAGTATAACTGCCTCTCCTTCGTGATGTGGGGGTTGGAACTAAGAGGATTTAGTGTCATCGGTGGGGGTAACGGGGATAATATATTAGATCCAGTAAGACAGAATTGTTATCCAAGGTCTTTGTGTATTTAACAAAACAGGTTTAATTATCTAACCTTAGATTATCTGTCTGCATTAAGAATTTTGAATATCACTTGTGGAAGAGTAATGGAATCTTTGACTTTTTTATTTGTTTCCTTTTTTTCATTTGTTTTGTTTCAATATTAAATCAATTCACCTATTATCTTGTAATGCTTGTAATGGCTTGTAAGCAGCTTTAATTAGATGTACTAATTTTGCTTCAACCTTTTCCTTAAGGCTTTCGTTTGCATTCTATTAATTTGCCACCAATAAGTAAGGGAGAACAGTATACAAATTCTCTAAATTTACAGTTCTTTAAATGTGTAACTTTCACATTAATAGCTGAAATTCATTTTAAAGTTTTTCGTTAACTGATACTTTCACATTTTACTTTCCATTTACAGTGTAACTGTAGCAATATTAGTATTGAACGGCTGCAAATCCGAATACAAACTCAGCAATGCTATTAGTTTTTTTTGTTTGCTGAACAAAATTTACCGAATACTTTTCCTTATGGGTGCAAAACGTACACGAAAAGGGAATTCAGGTTCACCACCGCGCTTTGCTACTAACCACCCATACCCTGCCACGTAACGAAAATTATTTTTATCACGTCCTTGTGTCCGAGAGAGGTGTACCTTTAGTATCAAAGAACGCATTCTCGTGAAGGAAGGACTGAAATACACGTAACATGAGCAATACAGACAAGGGACGGTTCGGCAGGACCGCAAAAAAGAGTCAGCCCCGAAAGCAAGCTAGTCCAGCTTCAAATGCAAAGAAAAACGTGAAAGACGGCAACCGTATATCTAACCAACCTCAATTAAATATTGACGTTGATGAAGAACTGCTTCAGCCTACAGACTTGTCGCCAGAGAGCAAAGTTAATGTTTTACGAGAACTGTTTCCGGAATGGACAGAAGAAGACCTTCATGATGCTTTGCGGGAGTCCGACAATGATTTAGAAATTACTATTCTACATATTTCAGAAGGGCATGCTTCAAAATGGGAAACGAAGAAGAAGCCCCCGAAAACCGTCAAAGTACCAAAGTCTTCCACAGGCCCAGAATCTAAGACTGTATCGTTAAATGAGTCAAGACGGTCCAGAAAGCACCGGTTTAAAGCTCAAGAAAATGGAAAACGTAACTCTACAGTGCCAGAAGCAGTTAAGTCTAAGCAAGGTGAAACAGGGATTGCAAAAGCAGCTCATACGGGTCAAATTCTTACGGAGAACGATAAGGTTGCAAACACTGCTGTTTCACTAGCGAAGCTTGAAAAACCAACAGGTGATTTCGATGAACCAAAAATGACAACGGGTACCACTGCCACTGAAGCTTCTGTTACATCAAGAGAAGAACGCCAATCGGAAAAAACAGCTCAGAAACCTGTAAAAACTTGGGCCTCTATTGCCAGAAACAAGGCAAAGGACAAGGCGTGGGTTCCCACTCCTACTGCTACTGTTATGACGAAACTTAATGAACTATCCTTGAACAAGACCAAAAACACTGTACCATCACCACCTCCGGCAAGCAATGAAGCACATCTAACATCTGCACCCTCTAGGACCACTGCGACTGCCCCTGAAACGATTCCCGCTGCTCCCGTTCATACCGTTGATGCTAACGTCGCCCCTGTTCAGCAAACCAAAATATCGGCAGCCGCTCCCATTCCCACTGCCCATGTTGCTGCTGAAACACCTGCTCCCATTATTCAAGCAAAATCCAACTTCCTCACAAGTGCCGCACCTAATGTGAAGAACATCCCCACTATCGTACCAGGAAGCACGGCTCAGTTTGTGTTTCAAAAACATTTATCCTCGGAAGAAAGTGTTGTTGTTATGCCTATGCCGAAGTCGCTTCAGCCGAAGAAGGCCGGCCTAAAGTTCGGCTCGTTAACATTGAATGACGATGTAGTATCAACTTCACCCATTAAGTCTCTTGCCAAGTCTGATGTTGAGCCGCGTGATAATCGCTCAACGTCTAATACGAAGTCTGCCGTTCCAACTACTGCTTGGGAAGATAGACAAAAACCCGCCGGCCCTGCTCGTCAGCAACCTACCAATGCTGTCCCTGTATCCTCTGTCTCTGTAGCAGCTACGGTGGCTTCCCATAGTAATACTCGTTCTCGTAAGTCTACCACTCAAAACGAGACTCGCAAAGTCGGTGCTTCACGTGAGCCAAAGGAGGCGAGCAGTGCTAAGACCAAACCTGCGCCCGGCTTTTCAGGTATTTCTGGTCACTCACAGGGTTACATGGCTGGAGAAACAGCTCCTACAATCGGAGGCATTCCCGTGAGACCTATGTACGAAACTTCTGGCCCCTTTAACGGTGTTCCTGCCGACTTGACTCCTCATCCTTACGTGATGGCGGCAAATGAAAGCACGAGTGACAATGATGCCTCTGTTCCTTCTCGTTTTTTCAACCAGGTCGATAGCCGCAAAGTGAATCCCATGAATGCACATGTTGAGGGATATCCGCCCAGTGCTTTTATGCACAATCTTCCCTATATGTCGGGTACACAACAACAGAACAATGTTCCTCCTCAGTACGGAATGTCTCCCAATGCTGAGCTTAATTCTGCCTCCGCCGCTTTTGGTTATGGGAATGATCGAATTCATTCACAGTTTTTTGACAACGGTGTTCAAGCCGCCGGCGTACCAACTGACTCATCCTACAACGGCAATGGTGTGAAAAATGCCAATATTGGGGCTGCGACCAGTAGTCCTCTTATACTGCCCCAGCAAATTCCTCCCCATTCGTATCCATTCCTGCAGTATCCCACACAATTGACTTCTTATGGTGGTTACAAGTTTAACCAGACGCCACAAAACTACATGCCTAATGCACCTTCTGAATTCTCGCCATATCCTTCTGCTGCACATGCTAATTATTATGCTCGTAGTCAAGCAGCCGGTCCTTCGACACCAACCAGCATGTCGGGACCTAACGGAGGACTGAATGCGGATAAAACACATGGTCATGATGTTCAAAGTTCTGCTGGTGATAACGTGCATGGAAATACTATGAATGGGGGTGTATCCGCTCAGAATTCTGCTAATATTGCGAATGCTAATCGTGGTACACCTATCATGACACCGATTCATCCAATGGCCGCCATTGACAACAACTCTGTCTTTAGCCCCCAGAACATTCCATTTAGTGGACTTCAACAAGTTCAACAGCAAGGCCTTCAGCCCAATGGGAAGCAGGGTATCTCACCAGGGCAATTAGGAGCTGGTTTTCCTTACGGTGCACCTGTGAACGTGGCAAGTCCCGGTCTCGGTGCTTATGCTAATCAACCCTATATGAACCGTACGGGCGGCGCCGGTTGGTATGGACCATCTCAACAATAAGCTAAAAAAAGAGTGCTGAAGCAACGTTCGAAGGCTTTCATGCACGAACGGGGGTTTTCGTGTGCATGCTTGCTACTCGTAACAAAACATTGGATACTTTTGTCGGCAATCACTGCGGTTTCAGCGCTAACTTGAGATTTCTTTGCTACGTGTTTATAAGTTACGGAGTCGCGAATGATTATGGGCTCCTATTAGAAACTTTTTAATTCATTGTGTGTTACTTGTGTTGGGGGAGACAAATCTATGGCTCACGAGTCGTGCAGAGAGATTTTAATCGTACAGTTCGTACTAATGATTTCTTGAATGTTTTTAAGTTTGGAACTTAATGGTTGAGCGGTGGTTTATAGGTTTTCCGTTCAAGTTTAGAAGTGTGTGTTGATGGAACCAGTAAGTGTTAATGTTAGTCTAAGTTGATACAGTTCTTAATGGGAATTTCTATCGCTAATTCAATCTGTTTTCTTTCATTATATGTAATAAAGGTGTTAAGCAGAGAAGTTCATAAAAGTAGCTCTTTAAGTCCAATAGCCGCGGACATGTGGTTACACATTTAAGTAATTGCATATTAGTATTGGATCCTTAAGGCGTATGTTAACCTTTGTTGGATAGATAAATCAAGTGTGATACTCATGGTTGAAAGTTAATCAAGAAGTAGCAAGTACTTTCGTCAAAGCTTGTTAAAGTTTACTGTTATATAAATGTATACGATTAACAATCGGATTCTGTAGATATAGCATCGCTTTTTTGAAGTATTGCTTTCGCTCTATTTCGATTTATAGTTGGGTTTTTGAACAATACGAATACATGAAGTTAAAGACCACTAAATGGTCCCTTCATCGATTGGATATTTATGGGTTTTTATTGTTATATCTACTTTGCCAGTTTACTGCCACAAGTTGAAACTCCGTAAACAATACTATTATTGGGGTTGTTTATATTATATAAGGGAATATCGTCAATAAAATGAAAATCACTTGCAGCAATTTTTGATTTGTCGTTCGAATCAACATTAGTACGCAAATTAAAAAGTTGTTGCACATCTGAGCGAACCATATCCGTATTAGGAAAGCAAACAAACTTCTGCTGAATAAGAAGACATCGTGTAGTTTCCATAAACATTCGCTCTGACTGCTAGTCTCCTTTACGGAATGACTTAAACCTGCTTCATGATTCTCATAAGAACATTAATTTTGATAATATACTATAGTTGCACCATAGCAACTCGAGTGTATATTAAAGTAGTTAATACATCTACTTGATGAGGTAGAACCCGCTTTTGAAATAGTTTAAATCCTGGAAAAAAACTATAATAAGGTGGTCCAAGATTGTCCAAGCAAGTATTTACCGCAGGAATAATTAGGTATCTACTGCTGGTGAAACACCAGCTGAAACCAACATAGTAGAATGTGCCGTAAGTGCTAAAACTATAAATCTGTGTACATTTATTGCCTCGAGTTTTACCTATAAAAGATATTGACTTTCTTACCGGAGGTGAAATTCTTTAAATAACCTTATTATGTTGATGTTTAACATGCGTCTTTAGAATTCAGAATCGCTAATCTGCTTTGATTGATTATATCCAAAACCCTAAGATATAACATTTGATGCCTTAAAGAACTTTAAAAAATCCAACTAGATTTAGTTCCCGCTTACTAAGATTCAATACACCACACTTTATATAGATATCGCTAACCTGTTTTCTTTCTTAACATGTCCCCAAAAATGAACACGGGATGGCTTTTGGCCTAAAACGATTTACCTAATTAATTTAAGAATGTAATATTCACAAACAACATTTTTCGATTAGTCTCCGACATTAAATTTAACAGAGCAGCCGTTGCATACTTGTTTGGGCTTCTGAAAGCTAAATTCGCCAATAATTTGTCGCCTTTGCGACCCAACCGAGCATGTTATATTAAAGAGGATCATTCCAATAAGAATGTTTATTGAATGAGAGTGTGCAGTGTCTTCTTAAAAATGAAAAGCAGAGTAACATCATAGGGTATACAGTAACACAATTACTACCCAAGGTGCGCAACTTCCGGCACATATATTCTGGTGCCTATCCTTAGTTGCCAATATAGCGAATTTATAATTTCAACGAGCCTGTGAATACAATTGGTTGACTACGAAACACAGTTTGCAACTATGAATTCCCCGTTTACTATCAACAGTATGTTTTGCGTTTAAATGCGGAATCATATATAGCAGTTCCGTGTAACCCTTAGTAACACGGCCTTTACGTTAAAAGATGATGACCTACTTAGAAACATATTCCTTGTACTTTATCTATTTATTTAATCGCTTTCACACATCTGAATTCTTTTAACCAGTTACATCTCCGTAGAATAAAACTTTTAAAGTAAATACGGACTACAGTTCCATTTATTGGATATAAAGTATTCAGTGTATTGCAACTCAAAACCGGTATCTACATTTACCTTCGGTTGACAGTAACTCTCATCCCTTGATTGATTTGGCCACATTCACTGCCACGTTGTGGCTATGGTTTGTTGAAATTAGCAAGCTCTCATCTATATAGCCGAACCAGTGATTGAGTTACAAATGGATCATAGTTTGTTTTGTCCAAGATAGAACATTGAAATACACTACACGTCAGGCACGATAAATTCTAAGTTGTTGTTCGCCAAAACGTAGTTTAACCACGGAGTCAGACAGACACTCCAAGTTATAACGAGTGAAATTGTGATTAAGTATTATATATTTTTTCTTTTCTACAGATCTTTCCGTTGTACTTGTGAACAGTCAGAAAACCTCTAGATTGGTCTCAATAGGACAGATGTTCGCGACGTTTACGAGTGACCAGTCCATTTACAAAGATCCGTCTTTAACGTCGGGAATCAAAGAATGATAACAACTCTGCTCTATCATAACTATATCATTCCTTTAGGTGTGTATTAGATAGTCAATTGTTGATTGTGTTGCAAGGCGAGATTGTTGCACATGTGGCTTTTAGAGTTTGCTAAAGAGAAGGCCGAGGCGGACTTTTGCCGTGCCCTTGCAGTTGTATTCACGGGTGAGGAATACACGTAGCATACCATGACAGCGAGCCGGCATTAGTAGACTGATAACTGTGTCAACAAACATTTAATCGCGTTTATGCATAATGCATTCAGTACGAACTTTATTGCATCGTATCTAATTGAGTAACTCTCCATATTACGTCGTGTAACACTCAATATTACTACTATTTGGATGTCTAAATGTTCAGCAATAGTTGATTAATTATAGGGAAGTGCTAAAAATTGCTTGTAGTAATGCCTATTACAAATAAACTTCATATAATATTAACAATGACAGTAATTCGGGTTACCGGTGTTTGTAACATAATGGTAGATCTCAGCGGGCGAAATTTTTATTACATAAACCTAGAGCTGTAATATAAACTGTTTTTGTTTGGAATAGTCCTCAAAACACATTTGCAATGAGTGTCACAAAGACCTAGCCTTTCCATAGAATAGTGAATTTACTAACATTAATCGGCATATGACGTGTGGACGACAGGAAAGCGGGGCATAGCTTCGCAAGCCGAATTTTTGCCGCTCGCTTATAGCCAATACCTGAGTTTAATTAGTTTCCGTGGAAGTGGAATAGCTACGAAAATACGCAAGCTTTCGTACAGTAACAACTATTTTGCACAAGTCATTGAGTTACAGTGTGTGCATCACTTGTTCCTATTAAAGGTCTATCTCTTCATTAGATGCTGTACTAGCGATAATCTTTAAGGAAAATGAGTGTTTCATCTTGCTATCCGTTGAAATATGGGTCATTACGGGTGCGAGACTTAATTCACTTATGCTATAATAAGCCTATTATTGCTTTCTCAGTAAACAACGTGTGGGCGAACTGTTTGAGGGACCGCTTGATCCTTGTCGCGCTCCTGGCGCATTCGCATCTATAACAAACGCTTTGTGGCTGACGGAACTTAAGCATGTCGCGTGGTACAGGTACTACGCCATGACATGACCGAGAATTTAAAGCCCAGTTATTAGCTAATCACCACTTCGACAACTAATTAGCCTTCTCACTTGACGACCAGGAAGCGAGCGCTTAACGTCAAATGACTCGAGCTCTTTATAGCTGTAGACCCGCAAATCATATTATAGAAATTGTCATAAAACTTACTCAACATTAAAACTGCCCGTTCATTCTGCGCACTGATTTGTTGTTATAATCTGGCGTGAATAAAATTCTCGGCAGCCCACAAAAAAGCCTCGCGAAAACTAATTTGCTCATGGACACGTGAATACGTTCCTTGGGGTTTAGCCGTTGATTTAGGTATCATTCGGTCTTGTCGTGTTTAAACCTAGGGTTTAGGTTTTCTCAGGATGACGGAGTTTTTGAAAACAATAAATATAGGCTTCGTGCGATATGCGGCGTTGTCTAATAAGAGCATTTAGGTCTTGGGCTGTTTATACGGCAGTGTCCTGGCTTTTGCTTCATCATTTATGTTTTGTCTCTTATCATAAATCCTAAGCAATTAAGGGAAAGCATAGTTCAATTAGCAGTACACGAACAGAACCCAACATCCTATTTCCAGGCGGTATCTCAAATATTCTCTCTCTAACACACTCCAAAACTAATTAAAGAAAGAACAGAACTGCCGCATCACCTTTTACGTCCTACGGCTGGTAGTTTGTAGAACTGGTGAAGAAATACGCCTTTTTCAACGGTTCATGTTCAGTTAACAAATGAGATTATCGGAAATTTATGGATACGTACCAACAAAGTGGTTAAGCGTCATAGCAATTGTTTCCTTTACCATTTGCGAAGTCATTAATCTTTTGGAAATTATAAAACATCAAAGCCGTGCTTCAATTGCTGCTTTTATTGGAACCATTGGTGAGATAATTTCCTGGATCGTCCGACTTTACTCCTCCTCTTTTAGCAGTAACGATACAGGATTCGTTCCAGAGATCATACAAAGTGTTTTGATCATGGATTTTCCTGTTTTCTACACTGCGCAAATGTGTACTGCACTAAAACATTTAGTTACGCAATATGGAGCCGAAATAGGTAACCTCGGCCAAAAACTGTATGGACTCGCCTACATTACTAGCGATGTCATTTCCTTATTTATACAATTTGTAAAAGTTGATACTACTGTTAAAGAAAACGAGGACGGTAAGAAGGAGCGTGCTGGCTCTGACATTATACTGCTTGGTATTTGTCTACAACTTGCAACCGTGCTCGCTTTCGCTGTTTGCAGCCTCGAATACTGGTACCATCACCACCACAATAAACTATGCAATAATCCGGGCTACGAGTTCAGTTAATTTTTAAGAATCAGGAATCTTTAAGACAGTTTTATTCTTTGAATGACATCACTTGGCTGTTTGACTTCTTCCAAATTTACAAAAAGCCATATGTATAATAAAACGTTGTATAGAATTAGACTTGTTTACCGTTTTCAATTTATTTATTCTTTTTTATTTTGATGCTTCCAATTTTTAACTCATCTTGCTTTCATTCATGGATCAATACTATCAGCAGTAGTATATCCCTTTATTCAGCGCATTTACGTAGCACAGAAATTGATTGTTTCCAGAAAGACCGGCGTTCTGGGCCGCACTATTGTTGAATGCCCGCGCTATTTAGCCGTAACGCGAAACTTTATCACGCAATTGCGCATAAAAAAACTCTTGAAAGCATTCCACTAAATAGTTGATATAATTATCTTTCTTGTGCTACTAATTAAGGAAATATTATTGAATCACGCTTAATAATTGTACGAACTTTGACATACTTTGTCTACAGAGCAGTCATAATGCACCGTTGGATCTGAACAAAAGCGATACCGTTAGCTAAGGTGTGAGAACGAAATAAATAGTTAATTTAATATCTTAAAAAAGAAATGGGTACGGCAGTAATGACATTTTTTTCTTGCATGTGCTTTGACGTTCAATCTTTTCCTAAAGATTGACCGGAAAACTGAGGATGGAGTGTGTTGCCTTTAAAACTGGACATACGTGGAAGATCCAATCCAGGCATGTCCGTCTTTGGCCCTTTGAACCAGTCTTTTGCTTCCAGAGCAAACCACAGAACGACTACCGCCATTGGCACACTATATCCAAGACTTGTCCAGTTCATGTCATACGCACTAGGATGCACCACAGTAGGAAAACACAAAATAGGAATCATAATCAGCACGAAAATGGTACCCGCTCCACCAATGAACCGAGAATATCGACCTAGATTCCAGGCCCCACGACAGAACTTGCTATCCTTTACGACGAATGAACGAAGACCGATCGGAATGATGAATGCAACAAATGCCGCAATTCCAGAAACGGCAAAAATAGCGTCTATCGCACACTGTCCGACAAACAGGAACAAAAGAATGACAAGCGCAATGGAGCTGTTCACAATGACCGCATTAACAGGTGTTGTCGTTCGCTTATTTATTTGTGCGATCCACTTGGAGAAAGGGAGAACACCGTCACGAGCATAAGAATAAGCAATTCTAGAGGAGGTAATTAAAACACCCTGTGCCATGAGAAAGTTTGAGAATACCGTAAGAGCTATGACTGCTTTAGCGCCATCATGACTAAGAACTTGCGTCAGATACTCAACCCACAAGTTATGTGCCTTTACAACCCTCGAATAATCAACAACTGTGTATGCAATAACCACATGGATGATCCAGCCAGAGAATCCACCAACTAAGGCAGTAAGCATAATACCGTTAGGTGCATTTACAGAGGCACTAGCACATTCCTCAACCAGATGATAAGAAGTATCCAATCCCACCATGGACCAGATAACACCACAAAATGACATAAACATGGCAAACCCCTGGGGCCACTGGGTCTCATTCTGAAAATGGTTCCATACTTTGTAGGAGTTGTTGAAACCCTGGCGCATGGAGGCACTGACCAAAATGATAATGATAGCAGCAAGGAGGGACAGTATATTCAAAAACGTGAAAACCGAGTTTATTTTTCCCATTATTCTGGTAGGTAAAGAAGCCATAATTGCAAGCACCACGATAAAAGCCAAGCAAAGAAAGTATATGTGATAGTGTTTGATAACAAAATCTTTACCATCGAATTGGTCAGCAGCATAGATCAACAAGCTGGATAAACTATAGACACAACTTGCAAAAAAGGTAAGCTGTGCTATGTAGTTGGACCAACCAGTAATCCAAGCAGCCAAAGGACCCCATCCTTTGGGAGCAAGCACTTTAGCCGAGTAGTACAACCCTCCAGATGTTGGCATACTAGAACATAATTCGGCCATGCTTGCAGCGACACATAAGACAAATACCAAGGCAATCAACCAACCCCATAGCATTCCCGGTGTACCTGCAAGCATAGAGAAATTGAGCGTAGCAGCAACCGAAGGAAGCAAACCCAATACGGAGAAGGAAACACTGAAAACGCCAAACAGCGAGAGACCTCTGTGGAACGATTGCTTGTATCCTAGACGGGCCAAATCTTCCGCATCATCAACGTGGTCCCGATATACAGGTCTGAAGGTTATTTCGCCAGTCTCGGTGGAGGAGTCGTAAGGCTTCGAAACTGAGTCCGTGCTTGACAGTGCGTCAAAATCAGCAAAATTCATCATACCAAAGTTTTCCACAGTATAGAATAAAGAAAGAAAGAGCGAACCGTAGTTTTAATAAATAAATGAAAACAATATATGAACAAGAAAGACCGAAATAAAAAGAAGTACCAAAAACGGAATATCCGTCAAATTTTGGATAAAATGTAACAAAAGAACAACACTGAGGACACTTGGATCTATTCCGGAGATAAATTGACACACTGCCTGCCAAACGTACAACTGAACAAGCAGTTACGAGCCTTCAGAAACTTGAATCTTATATACAAACGGCAATTTTTATGTAATTTTACACGGTACCAATTGCACTTAATCGAAAAGATCGGAAACGAACCTGCACTCGTACCACGTTTAAGATAGTAATTACAAGTGTGCTGACGCAAAACACTCGAATATGCTTTGAGGCTCAACTGAACTCTGACAGAGGAGCTAACGCTTGTTTTATACTTTGTTCATAATCTAAGAATCTTACACACCACATTGCGGAAGTAACCATGCAGATGTTTGCGGAACAATTCCATCGGCTTAATACAAGGAAACATTAAAAAGAGGCTTATAAAGTTCTTTCTGCGAGAGCGTTCATTTATAGGTGGAAAAGTATCAGTAAATCACTTATTTCAACCTCACTTGTTTCCGAAAATCATGCATTTAATATGGAACAGCAAGAATATCAAAAACAGAGGAGAGTTTCCAAACAATTGCACGAGCATCGTTTAATTAAGTTGTATTAATCACTAAGTAAAATATGTTGTTTGACAAAAACGTCATATTTTGCACTCTTTGTATTTTAAGCTCCAGTAAGCGTTCCCAATTTAGTAGCTTTAGCGCTATACACATCTTAAGCATCGCTGGCACGAGCATGTGACGAAAACAGTTCCCGAAGTCGTGGGAAACATTGAAGGATTGAAGAAAGCAAGGGAAAGAGCAATTACGTCGATCTCAATTTTTGCCATTTTTTTTAAAAGCATACATCACTTCAACCAACTTGCATAAGAGCCACAATTTACAGATGTTGCTGCGTTTAATGCGCCTCACCTAAATATAATTTACAGTTTCTCGTTTAGAGAGTTCAAGTAGTTTTGAACCAATCATATGGCACAAGTCAGTCGGGGGCTCTTTCGACGTGGCCCCACGTGGTCAGCCGATTGTTGTTGTTCTTCGAGTAATTATTTTAAACGCGCTATTCGGTTAGTAGTGGAAGAGCGCATGAACACAGTTATATCAGTACTATTGAATCAAAACACCGTTGTCGGGTTGCTCAGATTTGCTGGTATTCCGGACAAGACAACGATTATATCATTTAGCCAATTGTATGGATTCCGTGCTTTTTAATTAGTATTTGATAATGACTATGTCGCTGCCATATGCATTACGTCAATTCATAGGTCGAGCGATCAAGTTGGCGGTTAAAAAAATGTTGCCCTAGGGTTGTATCTGAAAGAAAGATTTAGGGCCCAAACTTTAGTATTGCATCTACAAAGCAAACGTGTTTTGTTCAATCACATATATATATTACAAGTGTGACTGTGCATGCACGTTTCATAGCAAAATTGGACAATATAGTCAATATATCCCTGGGTAAAACTGGGATGTTAAGGACTTTAGGGGCAGAATTTCAACAATCTTAAGCAAAATATACAAATGTGCGATTCTTTATGGCTCAAAAACTGCCAAAAGATGTCCTTTATAAGGATGATCATCTTTTTCGTTAACTAATTTGGAGTGATGCCTTTTCTTTGGAAAGACAAGGCGCAACGTTAAAGCCACAAGTAAAATTTAAATGTTTTCTAGTAAATCATAGTTTTCGGATACACAATCGCTAAGCAGCTTGTGTTTTTGTTTGTACATATTGTATGAAATACAAATGAACACTAATGGCTTATATTTTTACGGAATCAATTATTGTAGAACCATCCCTGATAATTGTTTGCGTACAACTACTATAAAAATGTTATGTAACAAAACAATTTTTGAGAAGGCTAGTTTTTGGATATACGTCAATAAAAGATTCGTTTAGCCTGCTATTGCTCAAAAGAACACCAAAATTTTTGAATAGTTCATGACAACGAAGAATTAGACGTCATAAATTATGAAATTTGGGTCTACTTGAGCGTAAAGGAAGCATCTATACTTTCCAAGAGAACTGGACAATGATTGAGGCTGATAACATGTGTAATCCCTAAAAAAGTTATGACACCGCAGGCCATTGATCCTCATAGTATGTTTGATAAGCCATATACAGTAAATTGACCCTAGAACCCTAGAACATATATTAATACGGGACTAGAATTGGCTCAATGAATCAACATTCTAAACACCATGTCGATCAAGAGTAGCGTTCACGTCAGCAACAGTCAACTCCTTAATTTCACTTTGCGCATGAAATCAATTCACAGTAATGTTACATTAACGTTATGTTGTAATTAGCTTACAAACACAAACTATTGAAGTTAAAATGTTGGTATATAATTGAGTATTTTTTTACCTAAGCTCAAGCTGGCATGCAAGGATCGGTTTCATAAAGACGGACTGTCTTATTCTCGTGTGTCTTCTATAAATTGGACAAGAAGTAACATACAGAGCAATAGTTAAAACGTAAATTTTTCATTCATAACTTACGTGCGTGTACGAAGCAAACCCTAAACTAAATATCCTCATGCATAAAATGTCCAACTAAACAGCTGGTCCGACCCGTGTTTATGTATTTGCTTGCATTCGTAAAATAACGTCCGACCCGTCTTAAACTGAAATTGACCACCACGCACGCATTGCATCATCGACAATGCATCGCAATTCAACGACGACGATGTTGCTTCCTACCTAAGACGTGCAAGCTTATTAATAGATTTCGTTTTGACTTAAACTTGATTTATTTATATATACAACGACGTAATTAGAAAGCTAGTATACAGAATTAAATATTAAATCCATGTTCTCGACCCACTACAGCACGCAACACTAGATCCATTTCTCTTCCTTTGGCAAAAAACCGTTTCCATTGGAAACCGCTGCAACGGAAAACAACGGTATAGATGTCTCAACGCCTTTTTTTTTTTTTTTTTTCTATTTTTGATTTGATGTTAACAAGCAACCCAGAATTACATTTTCGATTTACAAAAACAGTGCTATTACCCCCCCTTTGGAGTACACTATACTATGATTTAAGGGTTTGCTAGAATTCATAAAATTTCACTATTATAACTAAGAAAGGATGTTGTCAATTATTGCGTAATTATCATTTAACAATCGCGTTGAAACACATTAAGTTCTGTCATACAGTACTATTTAAAGCTACGCAAACTTGCGGTGCCACACCGTACACCACTTAAGAATACACACCAACGTATTGCAGTGCAATTCATAAATAAATTATAACGTGTTCCAAAAGATTTCTATTTAGAATTGAGTACCTCCTTACAACATGTAAACGAGATAACGTGCCATACAACAGTGCTGTATTTACACATTATGATCCTAAAACGCACTACATTAAAATCGTGCGTACCATAACGCGCTTTTACGCAAAACGCTAATAAAATTTAAGGAATGAAAACGAATCCTAAACAAACATAAAACGCAATCCTTAAGGTGTGTTAAAAGCTTAACACGCGTTTTTCCACCACGTTAAACATTTTACTGTACTCTACGCCAGAACACAAACCAAGGCAATACTTAACGACACACTAATAATATAACGATGGTTTTCGGGATCTACTATGTTAGAGCTAATAACACGCTTCGTTACACCACGCAATATATTAAACAAGGTATAACCAAGATTTGAACACGAGCCATAACACAACATAACACAACATAACACAAAAAGACAATACCACTATGCTATCATCAGTTACGTGTGCCCAACTCAAGTAAAACTCGCGACTATATCAGAACTTGAAATCATTTTATAAAAATTATGGAAAAAGAAAAGGTGTTACGAAGTTATACGAGTTTCCAAAAAACGAGGTTTGCTTACTTTTGTTCGTATTATTAAATTTATTTGAACATTTCTAAATATTATGCAAACTGTTTTTTTGGACATACCCTTTCCGAAGAAGAATGTTTAGTCACAGTGTCGCTCCTGGCAGCAACAATAATTTGTATTGTAATGCTAAATCCAGTGCTGTGAATAAGACTAGTATTGTGAGCAACACTTGAAGCCATGTAGAATAAATTTTATATTTATTAGTAATTCTGGGTTTCTATACATATAATTACGAGATGCAACGCGCCGCATAATAACCCGCAATTAGTAGTGGCTAAGAGCCAACGTACCACATTAATTGGGCAGCCGTCTGTATTTCCAGCAAGCAAACAGTGCTAAGTCGTTACAAGTATATTATTTTTCCCAATTATCAATACCCAATTGACTGTGACGAGTAAAATTAAACAATTGCGTACGTAGACTGTAAAGTTTATACGCTCTAGCGGCGCGCAAGCGGTTAAATACGATCGCCAACTTCAAACAGCGATTCTGAACGCCACAGGCATCGTACGAGGTTCGCGTGACAACAATTGCAGTCGCGTAATTTACCTCTTCGTGACTGTATAATTCACGCCACGCTTAGTCATACCATTATGACTAAGAACCGTTTCTTCAGTATAAATACCTTAGCCTTAGTCTGAAATGATCATCACTTGTTTTTCAGAACATTCTCGTTCAACTTTACACATAATGCAGTGCAGTGCAACGTAAGTCAGCACTTGCAAGCACCCTTGACTAAGAGTACGGGTCGGACGTATTATGATACGCTATGGGACTTAGACGTATCAAACGAAAGTGGAAGTTTTAAGAACTTATACACTAAAGAATAGGAGAATAGAACTTGTTTTATTAGTAATTTCTATACTAATATTTATACTAATTATTGTTGCTATTATTAGCAACAATGTGACTGGTCATTCCCTTTTTGGAAAGGGTATGACAGAAGTGCAAGAATTGCAACTCGAGAAAGGGTATGACCGAAAAACATTTTTGTACATCGTTTGAAAACGATTAAGTTTTTCGGAAATGCATACGAAAGTATGCAAAGTGCGTTTTCTAGAAACGCGAATAACTCCTTACGAAGTCATCCTAGAGGCTTCGTAACACTCAATTCCCACACTTCTAGGGTTTGCGTCTTTTTGTGTTTCTGCTGGCACCGTCTTGTTTTGACAATTATCAGCGGGCATTAAAGTCGAACAACGACTGCAAGGTTCTGCCTTTGGTAATATTAAACAGCAAGAGTATTCGCCATCCATTTCGAGCGACACAGGGGTACGTAAACAAGCAGAATCGTCTTGAATCATCCTCTTCATTTCTTCACTAACAAATTTGGACTTTAGATCGCTTTGATCAAATAGGAGAACGGCCTCTGACTTTTTGCCATCTCTTCCAGCGCGGCCACTTTCCTGGACATAATCGAGCATTGTTTCAGGAGAATGAAGATGAATTACCAGGCGGATGGATGCGTAATCCATACCCATTCCAAAAGCTTTTGTCGCAACCATTATTCGCGTTTCGGATTCCTCGTTGCTGAAGGCCTGCATATTGGTTGAGCGCTCCTCTTCTGTAAGATCACCGGTATAAAGAGTTGACATAGTTGTAATAAAGCTGCTTCCATTCAAAAAAGCATTCATTTCCTGAACGGTTTCCTTTTTGCGACAAAAAATAACAATCCTTTCCTGTAAATTCTCGTCGAATTTATACTTCCTCCAGCACTCGGAAAGAAGATGCATTAGACTATTATCTCGTAATTCGCAAAGCTTATAGGCAATGTTGTAGCGAACCGTGGGCACGCAAACGGATGACTGGAGTTATAACGGAGTCACCCACAGTCCGGTTGGCGCTCAAGTTGGATAAGAAGATTAATTGATGATTATTAGTGTAAGCATTAAGGTTCATTTAGGCGAAAGCCTAAATCTGGGCGATCACCACCAAGCCCAAGGCCGCCCAAACGAACTGCAACGAGCTGCAGTAAGGCCTTCAGAACTCCCGGGACACGCGCGCGTTAATTCATTAACGCGCGCCGCGACGCGACGCGTTTGTTTACATTTACGCGTCGCGTCAAAATGTCTTAAATAGCTGGATTTTATAGAAAATAAACTAATCTTATTCTGACCTACGGACTGAGTCTTACACGTAGCGTGTCCGAAAGGCGGTCTTCCACTCCTTGTAAGGTTGAGCCGAGAATGTTCTGTAAAACAAGTGATGATTATTTGAGACTAAGACTAAGGTATTTATACTGAAGAAACGGTTCTTAGTCATAATGGTATGACTAAGCGTGGCGTGAATTATACAGTCACGAAGAGGTAAATTACGCGACTGCAATTGTTGTCACGCGAACCTCGTACGATGCCTGTAGCGATCAGAATCGCTGTTTGAAGTTGGCGATCGTATTTAATCGCATGCGCGCCGCTAGAGCGTATAAACTTTACACTCCTCGCCTTCTTTAATCCTAATGAGATTGTAAGCTCCTCTCATATCCAGCTTTGTGTAAATAGTAGCGCTTCCTACGCGGTCAAGAATATCATCAATTAAAGGTAAGGGGTATCTGTCTTTAATTGTAATATCATTAAGTCCGCTATAGTCTACAACAAGCCTGAGCGAGCCATCCTTTTTCTCGACAAACATCACTGGTGCCCCGGCAGGTGAACAAGACGGTTCAATAAACCCCTTGGCAAGCATCTCGTCCAACCAGGTCTTCAGGGCATCGTCGTGGTTCGCGTTCATCCTGCGCAGGGGCAATGTTGGCAGACAAGTTCCATCCAGAAGCGGCATCTCGTGGTCGTAGACACGGTGCTGCGGTAATTTATCCGCTTCTTGATTGATAAACACGCGCTTCAAGTACTCGTAGGCTGGCAGTATCAAGGGGATGAGTTCCTCCGACTCGGCCCTCGTCCTTA